TGGCCTTGCAAAGCAGAGGCAAGAAAAGAGCTGGGTTAAAAAGACCTCCAAATGGCAGGGAGGGGGTCCAGGGAAGGGTCCTCCTCCTCTGACCATGGTATATCAGGTTGTTCATAATTCAGAGGAGATGAAGCTCTGCTGTAAGAAGAACGGGATGGTGAGGGAGGCCCATGGTACTCTAGTGCTCCCGACTGGTGAGGGTAGGATGGGGGAAAAGATACCATTGATTCGGCTCTCGGCATGTGGTAGGACCTGGCAGCAAGCACCCAGTCAACCGCCTGAGAAATTAGGGTTTGAACGTGATCATCAGGAGGGATGGTTTCGGGCTCAGTTGCACTGAGTCCAGCAGCCGTGGGGGTGAAAGTCGCCTCTGGGCCTGAATATGGGACCTGCGGCGCCAATGGAGGTTGGTGGATGGTGGGACCTTGATCCACCCCAGGAGAAGGGGGGGTGAGGTGACCAGACCCCCTAGGCAGAGATCAAGGGCCCCAGTGAAAGATCAAAGAATGAGGCCTCCGCCTGTTCCGCCTTTGCCCTGGCCTGTTTCTGCGCTTTGGAGAATTCTTTCTCCAAAGCCTGGTACCTCCTGCTGGCCTGTTTCTCTGCCAATTTAGAAGGCTTCCTGCCGGAGATGGCCTTAGCCTTGGCCTTGATCCTGCCTACCACCTCCTGGTTGGAGGATCTGTGTCTTTTCCAACTAGTGGATGGAGGTGAGGTATCCTTAGGCTGGGGAGCCGTGGTATCCTCCATCCTGAGGAGAGTTATCTCAGGAGTGCTGAGAGGTAACTCTGGCAGTGGATCAATTGGCAGGTAAGTAGTTGGAGCAGGGGAATGTTAATGTTCACCCTGCTCCCCTGGCCACCAGACCAGTAATGACCCTGGGGGGCTCAGATGTGTCTACGGCCGCGGCAATGTCAGATAAGTGACGATAGCCAGCTTGCTCGTAGGATGCGAAAGTGGTGACAAGGCCAGCAAGATGATGAGTGTCAGCACAGTATGCGCAGGGGGTGGATCTGCAGAGTTGGCACAACTACTTGCGTGATGACCGCAATCCAATGCACAGCTCGCTAAATGGTGGCCAGTAGGGAGATGAGGTACCAGATTGAGGCCTGTTGGGGCCTAGTTTATGCGACCAGCCTGTCAGGGCACATAGTGTCCCCTCTGAGCGAAAGACTCTCCCTGTTTCAGGAAAGGGAGTCTGAATGTGAACTGAGCTAGTCCCAATCCTGCCCTCATATTCGGCGAAGGAGAAAAATTCAAATATGTAGGCCGTACAAGATGGCAGCCGTAAATCTTCAGTTCCTCCCTCAGTTCCCCTGTAGGGGGAAACAAGGCGGATTATGTGATAAAGTCAGGAATCCTCCCCCCGAGCGCCCCTGTCGTATCTCTTGGATGGTAGCTGCGGCAGCCACATGTCCAAAATGGCAGCCGCACTGATGGAATTGCCACGGACCCCAGTGGGGTCTGCAGGCCAAGGCCTGCACAAGCCTTGTGAGGCCTAGGGAATCACCTGGCTGCCGCATGCTGAGAAACGGTCGATTTAGCCACGACGGATTACCACGCGGCTTTAAAAATGGTGGCTGCAATGCGCAGGGAGAGCCTTCCGGTGCCTCCAGAGAGGCTGGTAGCAATGGGGGCTAGCCGGTTTAGGCATGGTGGAGCACCACGCAGCTTTCAAAATGGCAGCTGCAATGCCGCGGCCGCAGGGAGAGCCTTCCGGTGCCTCTGAGAGGGGATGGAAGCAAAGGAAGGGCTCCTAGAGACAGAAGGGGGAGGGGTGTAGATTGCGGCGCTAAGCGATAAAAAGGAGAGAGGAAGCCTCCACTCCTCCTGGGAGCTGGGGAAAATAGGTAAAGCCTCTGACAGTCAGCTGTGGTAGCACTAAGCCCAGCGCTACTCAGGAGACTGAAATCTGATGAAGGCTAAGAAAATGGAGAATTCACCAATGTTTTTGTCTATCTTCCTGATCTAGGAGCCAAACTTGCACGTCTGTCCTGGGCTGAGATCAAGTCGAGACTGGGTGTGTCCTAGTCCAGGACGGGCGTGGCAAGTTTGACTGACTTGATCTAATGGGCAGGAGAAAATAAAAGGTATTAATGTTAAGAAGGAAGTTTATAAATTGAAGGCCTTTGCTGATGATTTGGTGACATTTCTGCAAGACCCAAAAAATAATATCGATGAGGAAACTAAATGAGTTTGGATCCTTGGCTGCTTTCAAAATTAATAAGCAGGAAACATCAATATTGATTAAGAATATGACAGCACAGGATGGTAATATACTGACTAAAAAGTGCAGATTTATAGTTGAGAAAAAGATGAAATATTTGAGGGTTACATTAACAACTCAAACACAAACTTATTCAAAGATAATTATGTGCCTCTCTTGAATGGCATCAAAAAAGATTTATTAAGATGGGACAGATTGCATTTATCATTACTGGGTAGAATTTCTGTTATTGAATGTTTTACCAAAGATGCTCTTCCTGTTTCAAACATTACCAATACTTGCAACTCATACTCCATTTAAACAATGGCAGAGGGATATCTCTAAATTTATATGACAGGGGAAAAAAACGAGAATTAGATATAAATTATTGCAAGATGCTAAGGAAAGAAAGGGTTTGAGTTTACCCAATTTGAAACTGTATTTTGATACTTTTTGTTTGGTTTGGCTAAAAGAATGAGTAAACCTTTAGAATAAGAGGTTGGCATGATTACTTGTGGTATGATAAAGTTAAACTAAATGTTGATTTTAATAACCATTTTACTAGGTGTACTATTTGGAAAGTTTGTAATAAACTTTCAAAAATTTGCCACTTTGGGTTTCCCCATGAGAAGCCTTTTTTAGAAAAGAGATGGTGATGAGGCCAAATTGGTAGACCTATGGTAAAATAATATTTCAAATCCAAGGAGGAGGTAGAATCAGAAGGTCATGTTTGCCATTGGTTTACATATATGAAGTTGAAAATAAAATTTAAGTTAGATAAAAAGAATCATGGGTTTAATTTTGTTAAAAATGAACTGGAAACCCTACTGTGCAATAGTGATGAACATATTATTGCTAAAGTTTATAAAATGTTATTGAATTTGAATCTGGAAAATGAATAAGTTAAAAATTGTATGATTCAGTGGGCAAGGAATTTTGGGTACAATATAGTGCTTGAACAATGGGAAAATATGTGGAATAAAGGATTAAAATTTACATTAAATTATAATTTAAAAGAAAATTTTTATAAGATGATGTACCATTGGTACATAACACCAGACAAGTTATCAAAAATGTATAAAGGTACATTTCAATGTTGGAAATGTAAAGATAAAGAAGGGACTTTTTATCATTTATGGTCGACATGTGATAAAGCAAGAAAATATTGGAGCAGGATTCAAATGTTAATGCAGAAAATTCTTAAAGTGGATATAGAAAGAAAACCAGAGACTTTTCTCTTGGGGCTAATGGACAAAGATCAAAAAATATGGAACTTTGATGTTATATATGCTATACATGTTGACAGTAGCAAGATTACTCTACACTCAGAAATGGAGGGCTACGTTGATTGCCATAATGGAGGAATGGTTACAAAAGCTGATGTGGCTAGCAGAGATGGCTAAACTAATCACTGATTAAAGAAAAGAATATGAACACTTTTATTGCCACATGGAAACCGCTTCTAGACTTTGTGCTTGAGATGGAAAAAAAATGAAATTTTGATTTTGGGTTTTACCCAATTAGATAGACTTGATGTTATTGAAATGGCTAGCGTATATTATTTATATTAAAAGTAAAAAGTTGAGATTTGAAGTTGATATTCTACTTTGCTGCACCAAGTCAGAAGTCAATGCCTTTTTTTCTTTTTTTTCTCCCTTACCTCAGTTCTCTATTCCCTTTTCCCTTCCCCATGTTTTCCACTATTTACTTTTGTATTTTCATTGTATCGTATATTATAAACTAATAAAACTTTTAAAAAGAAAAAAAAGAAACAAGCTTTATCTGATGCTGAAAAATTAGAACATCAGGATGAAATACTGAAAAATGAACAAAATGGATTATAAGAGATGACAGTTAAAATAAAAAACAGTGACCTGGATAATGACTCCTTACTGGACTTACAAAAGAGGTTTATTAAAGCCTTGAAAAAGCCTTTGGAATGGGAAAAGAATATCTGATCAAATTTGGATGCTTGGCAACTGGCATGTATTTATGATTGTTGCAGCACCAGGGGTCATGTGATTATCTTTTGTGAACTTCTGACAAGCAAAGTAAAAGGGGAAGCTTGATTCACTTAACAACTGTGTTGCTAACTTAACAACTACAGTGATTCACTTAACTGTGCCAAAAAAGATTGTAAAATGGGGCAAAATTCTCTTAACAACTATCTTATTTAGCAATGGAAATTTTGGGCTCAGTTATGATTGTAAGTTGAGGACTATCTGTAATCAAAAACCTTAGTTATTCTGAAATACAGATTAACTGTACCAAAAGTAAAATAAATAAAATAAGTTTGAAAATATTGGAAGATAATAAGAATATGACAGGAAAACTGTATAAATTAACACAGATAGCATGTCCAGGTTTTATACTTAACTCAAGTGAACACTTAAACCAGAAAGATATGCAATATATATTTCAAAACAATCTATTAAATCAATAATCTGCTATTAGATACATCATTTAAACATAATGCATAAATTAAAAATCAGCAAGTCAAACATGCAACATTTTTTTATTGTCCTTGGTGTGTTCTCCTACATTTCTTTTTCTTCTTTTTCTTAGTTTCTCTATGTTATCTGAAGCAATTCTTTCTTTAGGCATTTTACACTAAGAATATGGCATATTTCAATTATGTTACATTTGCTCAGCTTTATACTTCTGGATCATGTGCAGACAAAAATGATTTTGGAATGTACTTATTCAGCTAATGACAGCATGTACCAATGAGGCTGGGGTTCAGTTGGGGGAGGGCTGAAGTGCTTATGCAAAGACATTTGCATCTGTTACCTACCATTTTTGCACATGGGACAACACTGATCTGGTTCATATACAGGATCCACACAATCAGTCTGAGGACAAGCAGACACAGTGCACACTACTTCACCATTGGCTTCACAGCGACATTTCTCACAAGATGAAACCTAAAAATAAATCAAAGCATGTTAAGGTTAAGGTGCTGAAATGTAAGACTCTGCCTCAGCTGAATCTCTCAAGAAAGCAGAACTCTTGAAACTGGCATCATTTCAACAGGAATTTTCATTGAGAGTTAATGAAAGCAAGAGAAGGCAGGCAGGATCTGAAAAGCCTGCACAAATTTGCTAGGTTGCACACCAAAATTTAAAACCCCTCCCAACTGCCCAGTCCAGAAGAGCCAATCCAGAGGTGTTAAAATGTTGTGAGAATTCAGGACGGATAAGTGATAAGAAGATATTTCCCAGGTATTTCTTCTATGGTGAAGCGGAGCAGATAGCCTGGGCAATTCCCTCCCCGTTATATTCCCCAGAAAGATACTTCAAAGCGAAGAGGAACTGAGTAAATAAAACAAACTAAGCACAGTACAATAAAGTAGAGCTCCAAAGGTTTCCCCTCCCCTCACAATGGCAGTGTTCTGACAGAGATCTATAGGGACCTGACATGAAAATTCTTGATTTAACTCTCAAACTTTTTTTTCTGCTAGATCTTTGAGTTCCACCAAACTGAGAGAGAGAGTGAATATAGTTGCAGAATGGGGGTTTAAGGGATACATTTAAGCTAGGATTTGGATTTATATATGGATTTATATTCTCGGTAGAATTATAAACATGCAAACTAAAAAAGATAAAAGGAGAAAGAAAATAGTTGCTGTGTAACTACATGTGATCCTTATTTAATAATTATTCATTCAGGGACCATTTGAACTTATGACAGAGCTGAATGTATCTAGATCTTATCTAGAAACTAACAACATTAATTGCATTCTGTTGTGTTGCCTTGAGGGCTTCAAGTGTACACTGATTGGAGCATAAACAGCAGGTATACATACATGTTGCCTACATGTCACCAGAACTGCAAAGAGCAGAAGCAACTGGATAGCCCCATTTCTTCAGAAGGTCTCTGGATATTGTACCCTTGTACAATATCAATGATTTCTATACTTCCAAGCTTTCATCAGCCCCAAGTGCCAACTCCTCCATTGCTTCCATCTAGTGTTGGTTCTTTGTAGCTTTTTATAGATCCATTCTGCTTTCAAATTCTTCAAAGTTTTTTGTTAATCCAAGGAAGCTTTTCCTGGATTTTATTCTCTGCTGAGCTGTTGCAGGCCATGGAACGGATGTTGTCTAGATCAGAGGTCCCCAACCTTTTGAGAGGTTATTCTGTGGACCAGAGGGGGTGTGGTTTCATGTACTGCATCCGTGGATGGATCTTTGCTTGTTTACATGGACTGGTTTCTGGCATGCTGTGGCCTGGTGCCAATCGATGGCCCGGGGGTTGGGGACCCCTGGTCTAGATATTGATGATTTGAGTCTGTCTCTGTATGCTACTGCTTCTCTGCAAATAGCAGGCAGGGCAATGCTGGCTAGGTGATAGATATTATCTAGAAGGATTGGTTTAAGTAAGGCATCTGGTAATAATTCTGCTAGCTTCATTCAGAGCAACATCTACTTTTCCAGCATATGCTGATTTATACCAGACTGGGCAGGTATATTTGCCTGCTGAGTAGCAAAGAGCTAAAGCTTTGTCTTAAGGACCCTTGGTTTAGCACCTCAAATAGAGCTCATTAATTTCCTGACGATGTTATTTCATCCGCTCACCTTCGGTTTAGTGTTGGTACAGTGCTGCTTATATGTAAGGGCCCTAGCTGGAGTGACTTCTAAGTATTTAGGCTGTGGCAATGTTCCAATAACATCCCTTTCCATATAATATGCAGCCTACTTATTGCAAAAATGAAATGTACATACCTGAATTTTTGCTGCATTTGGTCTTAACTTGGTCTTAACTATCACAATAGTATCGAACCAGCTCAATCAGGGCTTCAGTTAAACATTGTTCAACCTCATGGATGAAGGTAAATATATGTGTCCCAGAATAACATTGTAGGTTCTAATCTGTGTCAGTCAATCTAGGTTGTTGAACCTTCTCAAATGTTTTTCCCTGTACAGCCATTGCTTGATCATCAACATATATATATATTTATTGCTACCTTCATGAAGTGGCTAATAATTATGTAAATATTAAAAAAAAACCTTGGAGCTAATACACTACCCTATGGTAAGCCGTTCCTTTGGTTCCTCTATCTACTTTGCCTTCCTTGGAACTCCACAAAAACCATACGATTCTGAAGCAGATTCCTTTTTCTTTCTTTTTCTTTTTATTATTATTCTATCTTGAAAATTCCACTGTATTGAACAGTGTGTTCTCTAGGTATACAAATATTACAATATAAAAATCATCACATTCACAACAATCTTATTAGAATATAATCATATACTAAGAAGTAGCAATCATTTTGTTAAAAATAGTATTTCCCACAATAACATTAATTGTATAACAATTAAAATATTTACTAATTCGTTATAGGTCTTCCTAACATAATCCACATTTTCTCATATTTCCAACTTTCTAACCTCTGTTTTTATCAGCTAACCATTGTTAAAATAAGTCCCATGTTATATGGTATTCAGTTTCTTCTTTTTCTTTAATCTTTAATGTTAACCTATCCATTTCTGCACATTCCAGTATTTTTTAAATTATATTCTCCTCTATAGGGGTTTCTTCATTTTTCCAAAATTGTGCATATACTATTCTAGCTGCTGTTAACATATGTAAAACTAAGTATTACCTTTATTATACTTCCCTGGAAACATGCCTAATAAGCATATCTCTGGTTTTAAATCTATATGTTGTTTTATCATTGTGTCAGAATCCAATTATATTTCATCTCTAGTTATTGACTATGGAAAACCCCATTTCTGCCCTCCCTGGATTCTGTCATACTACGAAGGGGAAGAGGGATGAGCAAAGGGGTTTTATGGCTCTCACTTCCTTCCTTACAACTTCAAAGGGACTGAATGTGGAAATCACCAAACGGATTAACCATAACAATGGGGCTCATTACCTTTCATGTACTCCTCTCTGAAGTCTCCCTTCCGCCGGCCATGAGGAAAAAGGGGGTGAAAATGTAACGCCTGGGATTGTCACTGGATGGCAGGCTGGGGGGGCTGATTGGGACCACTTAAAACCTTCAATGGGAGGACTTGGGCCTCAGGTCCTGTCTAGAACGCCTGCAACCATCTTCTCTTAATAAAGATGCCTGTTGGAAGAAATATTCCAAGAGTTCTGTCTTCTTAAGATGCAAACTGGGGTGGGTCCTTACATTAGACAGGACTTGCAGAATTAGTCCACCTGGAAGGGAGAACCTTGCTGGGGGACTTTGAAAAAATTACCACGTCAGACGATGGAGGAGGGAAGGGAGAAAACTCCCCGGAAAGGGAACCGCTGCCCCAACTGAAACCCTGCCAGATGTCAGGATCTGAGAGGTCAGATTCCTCAGGAGAAGAGGTGGTAGAGAGACGGGACCACAAACCTCACTGGTCAATGGGCGTTGGAAAGAAAGGCAAGTGGGAAAAGAAATCAAGAAAGATGACCCTGAGACAGGGGGCCAAGCAACCAGAATGGAAGCAGGAGATGGAGAAATCCCTGCCCACAAGTGAAGAGGAAGGGAGCTGGGCATCGTACTTGGGCTGGATCCTACAGAAAACTATCGACCTGATGAAGAGAACCCTCAGCTCCCTAGGAGAAGAGAATTCTGAGCCCTACGGCTGCCCCAGCTCCTGGAACCGCAAAGGTAGAGACACCAAGGGGGAAGTGGAACCTGCAGCCTCGGGGACATCTGCTGATCCATTAGTCCCCACTTCCCGCCGACCCGCAGATGGCGATCTGGATTGAAGACACTACTGACAATGAAGGCACCGATCCATTCAAAGACTCACACCGCTGGACGTGAGATCCAAGGGGGAGCCAACACGCTTGGGGTTTTTCCTAACCCAAGTCCTCAGCTACATGAAGGAATATGGGCGGGACATCCCCAGCGACAAAGCCCATATCCGGATTGTGCAATCTGCCCTGGACGGGCTGGCTGCAGATTGGGTGGTGAACTTGCACGACTCCAATGCCCCAGAGCTCAACGATTTCAACTGTTTCATGTCCTCACTGAGAAGGTGATTTGAGGACCCCTTGGCTGATCGCAAAGCCCGCAAAAAGATCAAACTGATGAGACAAGGCAAACGCCCGGTAGCCGAATATACGCAAGAATTTCGGGCCATTGCCAGCAAACTGAACTGGCTGGAAGACATCCTCCTTAGCCATTATAAAGACGGACTAAATTAAGACCTATATGATGCTTGTCTGCTCCAAGGGGACCCACACCAACTTGATGAATGGTACGTCTTGGCAGAGGAAGAAGAAATTGACATACTGAAGAGGTACCAGTGAGGAAAACAATGGAGCTGCTCCCCGCCTGAGTTGACATGTGAACCAGTGAAACTATCGGCTACTACCAAGAAGCAAAGGGGCGTTGTCTTACCTGAACACCTTTTCTCAGCATGGAGATGGAGAATCCACCAATGGGTTTAGACTGTATTCCTGCCCAATCAGATCAAGTCAGCCAAAGTTACCATGCCCGTCCTGGACCATAGAGATCCCAGTCTTGATGCGAGCGAAGCCATTGACTGACAGCAAGACATTGTGGCTCACAAACTAACTGATCCTAGGCCTAGATGACCTACGAGGGTGGGTGTGGATTCTCCATCTCTGTGCCGAGAAAAGGCGTTCAGGTAAGACAACGCCCCTTCTCCAGCACTGGAGATGGAGAATCCACCAATGGGACATACCAAAGCCTACTGTCCCTGAGGGTGGGGAATAGACTGGACTGGTGTGGCACTTTGGTTTACAACCTGTTGAAGAACCCTCCTACTGAAGGAGGCCTCTGCAGAGGAAAACCTATCGATCTTATAGTGCCGAATGAAGGGCGATGGCGAAGCCCATGTGGCTGCCCTGCAGACTTCCTCAATGGAAGCTTGAGTGGCCCATGCCACCGAGGTGGCTGCACTTCGAGTGGAGTGTGCTGTAACCCGTCTTGGAACCAGCAATGACTCGGCCTGAT